GTCCATTATTATAAATATATATCAACATTTATTTCCAAGGCAAACACCACAGCTGAACCAGTAAAATACACTTCATGTCAAGCATAAATGAGAAAATCTGAGATCACTATAATCCCAAAATTCTTTTATAGGGAAAACAGTCTGGGGGATATTATTAAAAATCAATTTAAGTACATACTTGATTTGTGAAAGGCTTATGTAAACGTAACTTGAACTTATTTAGAAAATGAAAGACAAAAACAAATATTCTATAACCCCTCTAAAGAAACTTATTCAAACACAAATTTAAATAATAGACTCATTAAAAAAGAAAACGAAAAATAAGTTTTAGTTGAAGAATTTCACAAAAAGAGATACTAATCAATCATCAAATGTAATTTTTTTCCCCTGAAACACAGCGATTTTAGACTGCTGCTCTTTTCGCCTTCTGCTTGCTTCCCACGAAGGATGAAGAGGCTGTTGCAATGGCTGTTTTGTATTTTTAAGTCCTCTTTGTGCATTCTTATTAAGTGAATTCTTGATTTGAGGTTCATTTTGTGGAAAATCTGGGAAGAGAAAGCAAAAATAATAAAAACTAACTATATACCTGAAGAGTATACAGTGGGACAAGAGAAACAGATTTCATCTTCAAACCAATGTTAAAGAAAGAAATTTTGTTTACTTAAATGGAATACCTCACAAGTTAAAATTCCAAACAGGAACAGCCTGAAGTTGAAAATTTATACATGAGTAGACAACTTTGGGACACATACTTTCTAACCCTTGTAAACAGATGTTTATTGAGCGCCTCCCAATATATGCTGTGCTGTCTTATTTATAATGACATAAAGAGAGAAGTCAAAGTCCAGCTGACACAGAAAGCCAAAAATGGGGATATCATATTTTCAAAGGAACATGATTGGCTTATTAAATCTGTGCATGGAACAGATGCAGCCAGAAAATTCACATCTTAGCTAAGACTCTGGGTCTGACGATGCTGATGGGATGCATTTATGTTTAAAGGGCTATTAATTGATTCCACTTCTGTTATTGAACCAAAAGTTATTATTACAAGGCAAATTACTAAGTTTAGTCAAAAATATTAGACAAAGTTCTTTTTTAGTTGTAACGTTATCCTCCAAATATGAAGGTGGAAACTTATTTTCTAGTCCTTATGTATCTTTTACTATTAGGTACTTTACATAATTTAGAACAAAAAAGTACTCTTTGGGGAAGACATACTAGCACGAAAAGACATGAATCAATGTACACTTTGGATGTTTATAGAGTTTAGTTGATGGAATAAAAAAAAATTTGGAGGAAATAACTTCATATAGATTAATCAGTCCTAGGGATGTATAATTTCTCCATTTCCATTTAGACATTATTATTAAAAGCTTTTAAAAGATCTCTAAAAAGCAAATGTCATAATGTATTACAAGTGAGTGCACAGTTTGGGATAACATTTCCAAAACATCATATAAACAGAAATCAAAACATCCTGTATCTTGTACAAATCACATATGCTCTAGAAACCTGTTATAATATTCAAAGAGTGGCTCTAGTGATAAAAAATTTAATGAAACTTTAATAAAAACTGAGATTTAAATAAGGCAGCATTTCTAAACTAACATTATTTTATGTTATGTAAATTAAAGTTGTAAATAAACGTAAGTATTTTAAATATACAAGCAAAGCAAAAAAAAAACCCCAAAAACCCCTTTTACTTGGATCTTTTCATTGGGAAAACGTGAGAGTGCCTTAGAGTTATCCTACGTTTGTGAATATATGGTAAATGAGGCATATTGCCATGTTTTTGCCAAACCCTATTTTCTTTTCCTTTTAGGCATACAACCAGAATATAGTTCCCATTCCCACTGCAGTTAGGTGAGGCCATATCATTAATTGAGTTATGGACAAGGAAATGTTAGTAAAAGCCCAGACCATAGAAACCTGAATTCAATCTTCCATTATTTCTCTCTCTAGCTCCGATGAATGAAGAGAATTCCTAGGCTCTAGAGGGAAGAGGCACAAGATGGAATGAGACTACGAGAAGCACACAGACTGATGGATGAGAAGTAAACCACCAAGATTTGGTAGTTATTTGTTACAGCAGGTAACACTATGAATAATACTGAAATCGGTACCCTGAAGTAGAGTACCGCCATTATAACAACATAATGTGGCACTGGCTTAGTGGTTTGGTGGTAGGTGGTGAGGAAATGGATAAATGAGATTGGGAGGTGAGCTACCTATATGCTAAACAACTAGGTAAAACTGTTGCCAGTGATAATTTTGGAAGCAGGTCATATGCCCATGAAATCTGCAGTACCATGTAAGTGGCTGTAAAAAATAAAAAGATTAGTATACTATTGGCTGTCCTTGACAAAGTTCTAAAAAAAGAGAACTGAGAGAACTGAGAGAAAGTCTAGATATTTGGGAACTTAAGGTTTAGAAAAGCATATGGCCCCCAAACAGTGAACTATAAGACTGAGAAAAAAGACTTTTTTTTTTTTGAGACCAGGTCTTGCTCAGTTTCCCAGGCTGGAGTGCAGTGGCGTAATCATAGCTCACTGTAAACTCTAGCTCCTGGGCTCAAGTGATCCTGCCACCTCAGCCTCCTGAGTAGCTAGGACTATAGTACAGGCACATGCCACCACACCTGGCTAAATTTTTAAATTTTTCGTGGAGACAGGGTCTAGCTAAGTTGCCCAGGCTGGTCTAGAATTGCCTTCCTGGCAACTGATCAGAGATTCAGTTATGAACAGAGATAAGATGAAAGGTATAGCTTTCCCATCCAAACCTTGCAAGTCTCAATGCAGCAGACATTGAACGAGAGTGGGGGTGGGAAAAACAAAAGACAACACAAACAAACAAACAAACATAAATAAGGCAAGTTTGAGAACTAGCTCTAGGAAAGAATATTTAGTGTAGTTACTAGCTCATGGATGGGCTGATGGGAATAAAGAGGCCAGAAATCCACTAGGTTCTTAAGGTAACGTATAGTGAAAGAAATCACAAGCCTGGGCTGGGAAAAATACCTAGGACTGTTTGACTTCGAACAATCTTTAGGATCTTATATTTCTACCAGGGATTTGGGGCAAGCTCAAAAGAGATCATACTAAATACCCACTTCAGATGTGGCCATGGAACAAAGACCTTCCCAAGTCAGGGACCATCTTTTTAGTACCAAAGTCTCCAAAACTTTGTGGAGTCACACCCATGAGATCTGATGGAAAGTACTCATCATCTCCCAGGGATCTTGGTCTTTGAGCTGGATGCAGTGACCGGATGCGACGGTAGGTTGGCTTCCTTGTCTAAGTGTAACAGGAAATGTGAAATGGTCATTTGGTGATAGAAAGGTTGGTCAGTGGCAGAAAAAAATTGTGTTCAGAAAATTTCGCTTCCCTTTTTCTCCTAAATATATAGTTAGACTGCATTTCTTGGCTTTTCTGTGGCTAGATGGGGTTATGTTACTGAATTCTGGCCAATGAAATGTAAGCAGAACTGACTTTGGACACTTTCAGGCCTGGCTCATGAAAACTTCTGCAAAATTCTCCATGTACTCCATACCCTTCTGTTGGCAAATGGAGACTATTTGGAACCTGGAGGAGAAAGGAGTCAACAGACAGAGGAGCCTGATCCTTGAATGACTATGTGGACAGAGCCTCTGTGCTGATTCACAGTGGATTGTGATGTGAGTGAGAAATAAATTTTTATTATGTTAAGACAGTGAAGGTCTAGGATAGTATTAAGAAGTCAGCCTACTCAAATATATTAAACTTTGATGTGTTATGAATTAATCTGGAAATACTGTGATTTTTACTCTTAACCCAGAAAGTAATATACTTATTACTGAATGCTTAAATGGCATGGTATTGAGTAATTAAGATATAATTTATATAACAACTTAGTTAAAAATATATTGATTTAATTCAAGAAAAATTAAATAGACATATTTTTTTCTGACAAATTTTGTCTATATCTTTCCCACTGGTGGGACTCAAGGAAAAAAATCAAATAAAAATAAAAAATTGTATTCCTAATTATAAGATGTTCTATTTCCATTTCTGTGGGTACAAATTCATTTAGGCTATTAAGCGACTATAATTTTTCATCCTTCCATTTTGGCAAAACATAGCTCAATTGCATATGAAGGTCAGGCAGCCATCAATACATACCTAGGGTTTTGCTTTTTGGAGCCTGTTCTCTGTAATTTCTAAAAGAAAAAAAATATCATTATGACTTTTAAAAGATAAACAAACACTCTGATGTTAAGATAACATAATAAAACTCATTCAAAGGACTGTCACACTCTCTCATACTTATAGAGATTTCTATTCATAACTGAAAAATATCCTATCTTGGTTACCTTGTCTCTACTCTTGGGGATTATCTAGATAAAGAATTAATAAAGTTTTCTCACAGGGAGAAAGAGTCACATGTAACAAAAATTAAGATTTACATTTTATAAGAAGGAGGAAGGATAGTGGTGTGTTATTTTCAAACAAGGATAAAAATGTAGTCTTTTGAGGCAGGTTTGGGAGATACAAGGAATAATTTAATTATTTTCAAGGCTCCAAAGATGCTTTTTATGTCTTTTCTACAACTTTTTGGGAAAATTTCTACATCACATTTTTCTATTCCATTAAAGAATATCCCGGACTTATACAGAAAAACAGATTATTGAAGAAAACAGCTATTATTGAAGAAATTAGCTAACTATGATCTTTACTTTAAAATGTGAAGATGTCCTCTATCAGATTAGAATTACAAATGAAGTTAAACTTATTGATTTATAATCTATAATTTATTATCACAGAACAGCTGTGAAAAGTAGTTAACAACAAGGATGGAGACAACACCACCACCAAATATAAAGCAGTCTGGGGAAACTCAGTGTTGGGGCAAGTAGCCTTATATACTGAAATGGGATTAGACAGGAAAATGATTGATGTTTACAATAATGGTCTTGGGTCATCAAGAAAAAATACCATATTCTTTTCAGAGAGTTCTGTTTGAAAAGAGAGATGTGTGAAACATTTTCAAAAGTTTTTCGTCAAAAACTAACCTAAAGTTTCAAAACTTTGATAATTGAAACAATAAACTAGGCATATTATTTGGCTATAACATCATGTTTTCTGATGAAGAGGGATAAATGTGGCATTGCCACATGTGTATTTGTATATATTATCCCATTATAAAGTTGGAGAGGGACAAGTCTAAATCAGGATGAGTTATACAAACTAGAATTATGGATGGGAGATAGTCTCTTCCCTCACGTAAGAAATGTAGATTTTTCGTATCTTTTTAAAAAAGTAAGAACTAGTAATTATTTCAGAATAAGAAAATATTCTTACCTTCTAGAGTCTTTAGATCCAGATAAAGAGTGGAAAAACACTGATTCTAACCTCCTGGCTTCCGTACTTGGCTTGTTTTTGTCATTTTTTATATCCCAACGAGTTTCATGTGTATCTTCTTTGGGTAACACTTTTTGAAGGGGTTTTTGTTCCTTATCTGAAGAATAACAACTACTTTCCTTCTTTCGTGTTCGCCTGACTTTTCCAATGAAGAAATCGTCACCACTATCACTATCCTCAGACATGGAAGACTGTTTGTAAAATCTTTCTTCTGTGCTATCATCAAAATACTCCTTCTCCTCTTCAGATAATTCTTCTTCATCATCACTGTTACCACAAAGCAAGCTATCAGATCTTTTCTGTTCTTTGGTTTGACCTGGTGTTTTCATTTTTGGGTAAGCAGCTATCTTCTGGGGTTCAGAGGGAACTATAGAATCCTTTCCTGAAAGCTTTGATGGAGAATTTGGAATGTTCACTGCTTTTGGTTCATTTTTCATCTTGGCCATTTTTTGCTTTGAATTATTTATTGGTTTCCTTGCCAGGATTTTGACTTCTTTCACTTTTTGCTCATTGATAATAGTTCCTTGATGCTGTAACTTACTTGCATCATCATTTGAACACAAAGTGTCCTTAGAGTGATTTTCTTCTGAAGCATTCTTTGATGAATCCACTTCAGTAACATATTGTCTTGCATCTTTAAAGGCTTGGACAGCAGCTGCAAAAAAGATAGTACATGACTTGTTTTAGCATTGAAACATATAAACTACCACTGTTTTAGTACAGTATTTTAAAAATTATTTGGAAACATTTAAGAGGGCAATTGGAACTTATATTAAATATGGATGATAGATTTGAAATCACAATGAAATCTTCTGAATTCTTAAAAACCAAACTTATGAGACATGCTCAGATGTATCCATTTTAAATGAAAAGAAAATTATCCTTTCTTCATGTCTTAGAGTTATGAAGAACAGTAAAAAGTCACTGAATACAAATAAAATGGCAACTTTAATTTCTGTAATAATGTAAAGAATATTATAAATTATGCTTTTAGACATAAAAATAAATATCATCTAATCTTTGACAAAAGCATGTAATCTATAAATATATTTTATAATATACATATATAAATGAAAATTATTTGGCTAAATGGCAAAACCAAAAGTAATATAAGCTACAGCAATATTTAGAAAACTGTATTCAACTTTAAAATGTATGTATTTATATAAAATATATATCAATATATTAGAATTTAGGAAAAAATACAGATTTAGTTTTTCTTCACACATCAGCAAATTCCATAATTTCAGGCACCTTTCTACATTTGTAAATATCTGAAAGAAATTTACATTTATAATCTAAAAATCCTGAAGACCCATAACCATATTTAAAATAAATGAATAGCTATTATCCAAAATCATATATACAAATGCATTAAGTACATAGCTACTTTTAATATTAAAAGTCACTTAATTTCTACCTTTTAGCACGTCTATTTTTTTCTTCAGAAGAGGGTGTACTGCTAGTCTGGCAATTGCTCTTTCAGTTGCAGTAGAATCTGGCTGCAAATTGAAAAAAATAAATGTGCGGAAATAAAATAAATACAAATAGCTTGGCACTGTTGGAAGTGAATAAAATAAAATCTATCAAAATCTTTTAAAATTAAAGTTAGGGAACAGAATTTGTTAATATTCTCATTAGGTAAGTTATCAGTTTAATTCATGCTAAAGATAAATATGATGCTGTTAAAAGTATTATTGCCTTTGGACAATTAAAATGATCTTGTAGTCCATTAATAAATATTCTTTGTAAACTTAACATATTTCCAGAACTGTGCTAGGTATCATGTGTGATATTTTAAAAAAAGTAACATAGCTTCTGCATTCAAAGAACTTAAACGATATCATTAAGACCAAATTAATAAGAAAGAATCATTAGTGCTAAGCTGGGTTATACTCTAATATATAAAGTCCCATTTAATGGAGACCTAGAAATTATCTAATGCTATATATATATATCTTGAATGTGTACTGTCACTGCCATATTCTCAGGACCTAATGCAGTGCTTGGATCATAGCCAAAACTTTCTAAAAATTTGACTGTGACTGAAGGGGAACAGATTATATATAGTATTTAATGTATTTATGATTTTAGAAACTTCATAAAGCAGGCTAATTGTTTTAAATGCCACATGTAGACTGACAACTTCTAAATTTCTACCTCTGGCTCCAACTTCAGCTGTAGATTCATAGACCCAGCCACTTACTTGACATCTACTTGACATAAAATAGATAAATAAAACAATTCTTTTATTTTCCTCTCAAAGCTGGTTCTCCTTATAGTCTTTCCCATCTTATTGTATGTAATTTCCATTCTTCTGTTTGCTCAGCCCTAAAACTTTAAGGATTTTTCCATCATAGTTCTCTTTCCCTCACATCTCATAATAAATCCCTCAGTAAATCCTATGGTTCCAACTGCAAAATATATCCAGAACCAGTTACCATTTCTCACCATTTCTACTCTTAACACCTTTAACCAAATTACCAACACCTCTCACCCAGACCAATATAATAAGCTCACAGCTGGTCGCTACCCTTTTGCATTTTGCTCTCTCACAGTCAGTTTTCCACACAGCTGTCACAGTGATGTTTAAAAATGTAATCAGACCATGCTATTTACACATCCGTTCTTCTTTAAGCTTCATTGCCTCTGATGTTCAGGTCATTCCATTGCAATCTCTTCCCTACCTGAACGCTCTACTCCCAAATACATACATTGATTGGTCATCTCACTACATTCATGTTTCTGCTCCAATGTCATCTCAACTAGCACATTTCCCATCACTTTTTATTTACTGCACATCACTTAATACTGCGTGCCAGTGACTGTATCTCACTGCTGTAGATTCAGTGCCTAGAAGAAGTAGGCCTACTATTACTGATAGGTAATAGTAGGCACCCAATACACATTCCATGAAGCAATTATAACAGTAATTCTGAGGTCAAAAAACTATAGAGCACTTAATCCTTCTAAAATTCTGAAGGAAAATAATTTTCAACCTAGAGAAGAAGAAAAAAACTTTCAGACATGCTATGTTGTTTTAAAAAAGTTACATCCCTTGTACCTTTCTGGTTCCAAAGCTACTAGCTCCACTAAGATGAGGAAGGATACAAATAACGAGAAAGGAATGGGATACAAGAAACAAGAGACCCAGGCAAAAGGAATTCCCACAATGATGGTAACAGGAGACTTAGGTTTAGCATATCAGGTATGTTGAACATCTTGAGAGGACATTTTAATAACTGGTAGAGAGCTCAATGCAATACTAGAGATAAGACAGAAAACTAACAAAATAAATACAATAATTACACACTATAGAAACAGAAATATTATGCAGAAAAGGGAAAGTGATACTCACTATGTGATTTTTAGTCACAGTAACAATCACTGAATGTCCATTTAATCTAATTTTTTTTTTAAGAGCTAGGTCTTGCTCTGTCATCTAGGCTGGAGTGCAGGGGCACAATCATAGCCCACTGTAGCCTTGAACTCCTGAGCTCAAGTGATCCTCCTGCCTCAGCCTTTTGAGGACAGGAGTGGGGAGCCTGTGGCCTCCTAGGTAATTAAGTGTGGCCTTTTGACTGAATCCAAATTTTACAGAACAAATCCTTTTATTTTTATTAATACATTTTTGTTCATCTTTTATATTTATATTTTATTTTACAATGAATATATTCAAAACATCAAAGAATAAAACAAGTTTCAACAAAATAATCATCCCAGATTGACTGGCACAATTAGAACATTAGTAGGCCTTAAGGGCTAAATTTTGATGGCTGCTATGCTCATGATTTAGTTCTAACTTCCCCTGCCTGACTGGCACCACTACTGCACAAGGATGGCTGGCAAGAATTTATGGGGGTTCAGTGTGCCAGTCCATTATCAGCTTTTGACAATGGTGCTATGTGTTTATGTTTGAAGTGGAATTTATGAATAGTTGCACAGCTCAACAGTATTTTTTAATTCTGTCTGCTTAACAGTCCATCATGTCAAAGATGACCAAGAGAATGCTGAAGAAAACACATTTTTTAATGAGGATTGGGAATTGCATTATTATCTTGTTTCTGCTAAAGCTGATTTGCTTGTTTTGTGATACTGCAGTATCAACATTAGAGAAATTCAATGCTCATCAGAATTATAACACTCATAAGGACCACAAACATTTTAAATTAGAGGGAGAGGCGTGAAAGTTTGTAGTGCAGAAATTAAAAGATGAAAAGCAAAAGCAAAGACAATTCTTTCAAGCAGCAACAAGACCTGGAAATAATGCCACTGAAACAACTTATAAAGTAGCTTATATACTTGGGAAAAGAGGGAAGCCATTCAGTGATGTAGAAATTGTGAAAGAATGCATTGTTGAACCTGTAGGATGCTTAGACCCTGATAACGTTTCAAAGTACAAACAATTACCTGTTTCAAGGAGAACCATAATTGATTGGCAGCATGAAATAGCCTTCAACTTAACAGAACAACTTTCATGTAACACTTCAAAAGGAAAATACATACTATTTAATCGCTTTGGATGATCTGACACTACTAACTTGGTGCAGGTTTTACAGTAATACTTCATTCTGGTCATAACAGATTTTCTTTGCTACGAAGAGTTACTCGCTTTGGGCACTCTTGCAAACAGAACATGGGGAATAAATATCTTCAACAACTTTCAAGATAAATGTTGTGAAGTTGGACTGAATTTGATAAATTTACCAAGTGTATGTATAGACGGCGCACCTTCCACGACAGGAAAACATGAAGGGTTTGTTGGACAGATAAAAAAAAGTATTAACAGATCTGCATGCTTTCATTCCTTTCCATTGTATCCTGCAAAATCTGTGTGCTAAAGCTACTACTTTAAGTGACACTTTGCAACAAGTTGTAAGTATTGTTAACTATATTCGTGCAAATCATCAGTTTTGTAACATGCTAAAGTTGAACAATGAGGTATTCAGTGTGGATTTGCCATATCATTCTAAAGTACGTTGGCTATCCTAGGGACAGGTTAGCCAAAATTTTATCTCTGCGAGAACAGATAGTTAAATTTTATGAAGAACAGAATCAGCAATGTGAATTATTGAGAGAAGATTTCCATAGGAATGCAGCATTTCTGTGTGATATGTCAAATCAAAATAACTTCAATATTTCTCTGCAAGGTAAAACTAAGTCTATATATGATATGTGGCAAAATCCAAGCATTTCAAAAAAGTTAACTTTTTTCAAAACACTTCTTCAAAAGGAAATTTCAGATGAACTTTTTCTCCAGTTAGCAAAGGTCACTGATGAGCAGGATGATATATGTGAATCATTTGAAGAATACACAGCTGTTATAGACCTATTAATTGGAGAATACAGTGAGGTTCACTGACTTTTAGAATCATGACATCACACTCAAATTAGCATTTCAGCCTCACCTAAGTTGATATCACCAAGGCACCTAAGGAACTATATATAGATGGAATTGATTGAGCTCTGTAGATGATATTTTAAAGTCATTGTTTCATGCTAAGAAAGATCCAATTGAAATATGGAAAACTGTAGTAGAGGACCCATGCCTTCAGCAACATGGCCCAAAAATGCTTTCTTGCTTTTCAATCACTTATTGCTGTGAATCTACATTCTCCTACCTAACCCAAATCAAGACGCCCTTAAGATCACAAATGACTGATACCCATCTAGAGTATCAACTGAAACTGCGGACCTCCATGCTACAACCAAATATTCAAATGCTTTTCCATCAAAAAGCTGACACAACAAAGTCATTAAAAGGTTAGTCAACTTTAAAATTAACAAATGTTTTCCTTTTTTTGAAATTATTAGGTACACAATAGTTAGATTTTTATAAAATAATGTAATAATTTTTAAGTATATGTAATTTAAGTTTCTTGAATGAAACCTTATTTGATTACAACTAAATTAGTGTGGCCTTTCAACATGAAAAGGTTCCCTCCACCTCTGAGCTAGGACTACAGGCTACACCACCACAACTGGTTATTTTAAAATGTTTTGTAGAGACGGGGTACTGCTAGGTACCCCTGCTAGGTACTGCTAGGTACTGCTAGGTTGTCCAGGCTGGTCTCCAACTCCTGACCTCAAGCAATCCTCCTACCTCAGCCTCTCAAAGTGCTGGGATTTCAGGCATGAGCCACCATGCCCAGCCCTAATCTAAATTTGACTCAAGTATATGAGGATGGAGGGGATAAGGATATAACTTAGAGGCTGGAGGAGGAAAGAGATCTCAATCCTTATTTACCACAGCATGAAGTTAACAGCTAGTACTTAAATGAAAGAGTCAATACAGTACTAATATAAACATATTGATGAGGAAGTAAATTCTGTAAGAATCAACTAAAGTTGAAAGTGGGGAAGGAGTAATAGAGGACTGCCATTTTCACAAAAAAGTCTTATAGTAGTATTTGATTTTCAACACCAAGGATTGGCAGACTGGTCCATGGCCAGTTTCAGCCTGCAGTCTGTTTTTGTTTTTGTTTTAAAAATAAAGTTTTAT